CTGGTGTCTCCATAACCAGCCTAAGTGCTCAGAGCCCCAAACAGGCCTTCGTGTTCGCTGGTCTGTTTTTCTAAATCGTAGGTGTCAGCAGGTGACAGTCATTACTTGACGTGTGCTTTGTTGAGAAGCGTCACCTGGCAGAGTCACAGAGTTAGAGAACGGCCCAAAAAAGCACACGGCCCGGTGACCTTGGAGAACCCGGCTGGTCACGGATGTTCTCCGCAGCTCGCCTTGCGCGCCCGCGCACGTCCAGGGAGGCTGGAGGTGGCCCTTTGGTCACGCCCGGCCGGCAACACTGAGCGCGTCTCTCCCCACAGAGCGGCGGCGGCAAGATGGACCTGCGGGAGTACGTGGTGGCCCTGTCTGTCGTCTGCCGGCCCGCCCAGACCCTGGACACCGTCCGGCTGGCATTCAAGGCAAGTGCGGGTTTCCCGGTTTGACGCGGGACGGTGAGACGCGGCCCACCAGACCTGGGATCCGCTTCGTAGGTGCTTGTTGTGTCGCTAAACCGACGACCTGCCACGTGCTGTTTGTCCGTGAGCACGTGCTGGCCGTTCTCTCTGAAATGAGCATCCACACTCGTGATAAAGACGTAGATTGGGGTCCGTCCAGGTCCCGGGGTGCCTGGGCGAGGCTGGTGGGTGTCACGCCACCACACGCTGAGTGTCAGCACATGTAACCGGGGGCCCACACGCCTCATCTTCTCCCCCTGCACGGCCTCCCCATCGGCCTGTCGCAGGGCTCAGGAGCTGCCTCCCCAGCTGAACCCAGAGGGTGTGTCATGCCAGAGCCAGGCCATTCACCACAGGGTGGCTCTGGGGTCCTGGCCCACCCAAAGACTCCTGGGCATCCCCCAGGGCTTGTCTCACTGGGGCAGAGCTGGGCTGGCTTTGGCTGTCCAGACACGGTTCCATCAGGTTCTCTGGGCAGGTGCGGCTCACATTGGCCAAACTCCCAAGGGCCTGATGGAGGAGTCAGGAAGCTGCGTGTCTCACTGCTCCGAGACGCCCTTCTCTCGCGCCTGGCCTCAGCACACCCTCCCCACAGCAACACCGGGATGTCCCCACATGTAAGGGTGGCTCACGTCCAACGCCGGGGAGCCAACTGGATGATGCCAACATCCGGCAGCCCCCATCTGAGAAAGCCTGGCCCGCCTCCTGCAGGCCTGGGAAGCCCACCTCCGAGGGTCCCGGCCTCACCTGGGCCAGGCCCCGCGGACTCTCGGCCCCCTGCTGCTGACCGTGCCTCGCCGCTCAGACAGCCCCAGCCAGCACCTGCTCCCAGTCACCGAGTAGAGTCTGTAGAGTGACAATGGCAGGTGGGGGAGGCTTGGTTTCCTTGTCAGCGTAAACAGGGGACATAGAGCCCGACCGTCCACAGCTGGCACCGCTGAGGCACCACCTGCAGACAGGCGTGACCGGCCGTGGAAGGCTGAGGACACGGCCCTGGAGGGGACGGTGACCGCCCGGTCCCCGCTGACAGGAGGGGCGCGTACTGCGGCAGGTCTTCCCAGGCAGATCCCACTGTGGGTGACAACACACACCGCCCTGCGGTGGCCCTGGGGACGGGCGACCCCTCCCACAGGCTGCCGGGCGGAGCAGCCGCGTCCTGACAGGTCGTGGTCGTGTGTGACCCCGAGAGAGGCGGGTCCTGCCCGCGGCTGCGGCTGAGGTCGCTCTGCAGACGTGACGTCGTCCTGACTGTGGGCTTCACCCCCATCATCTGCCCGGTTCTCTCTCTCTCTCGGGCCACCCTCCTCGCGTCTCCGCCTGCAGCCTGCGCCTTTCAGTGTCGCCGGTCCCCAAAGGCCTGGCCACTGTCCTCGTCCGCTGGCCCTGGGCACCTCCCCTGGGGCGCGCGAGGATGTGCGCACCCTCCCCGTTGCTCTTCGGGTCCCTCCTGGGCTGGCGGTTGAGGCACAGAACCGTGCCTGCGATATCCATGGCGCTTACAATCCCAGAGACACCTGCGTGGGGTCTTCCAGTAGAAATCTCCAGTGTTTAATGTACTTTTGGGGTTTCTTGTTTTTGCTTTCTTTTTTTATTATTATTACTGTATAAAACCTTCAGACGTGGCCTTGGTAAAAATTCTGACAACTCAGAAAGGTGGGAAGTAAAAACCCGAAGGTCTCCGCCCTCCCACTCGAGACCTCAGTCCCGGCGTTTGCTCCTGCAGCAGCCTCCGAATGGTTTCTGAATATAGAAATACGACCTGTTCTCTCGTCTTTCAAAACTCCAAATCACAGTAACCTGCCGTGACCCCCGCAGCAGCCGCCGCGGTCCCGTGACCCCAGGGGCAGAGCCGGAGTTGGGGCGGCGGGGGGCCAGGCAGGTGACTTGGGTTTGGCTTCTTTGAGGCTGCAGCCGCGCCACGGCGGGTCTAGCCTGCAGGTATTTGATTCGGCAAAGCTCAAAGCAGGAGAGAGGTTTAGACCAGGGAAGATTCGGGAGCCGTCGGTGCTCACAGGTTCCCTGGGGAGGCAAAGCCCAGGAGGACAGGTGCCTCACGGAACCGGCCCGTGCAGACCCGGGTCGCGAGGGCGCTGGAGGCAGGCGCACGGAGGGGAGGCCCAGGAGCTGCCGGGCGTTTCTCACGGGCGAGACCCCTGAGCGCAGCGTGGTGCGCGGCCGGGTGCAGGGCGCAGCGTCGCCTGCAGAGCGGGACAGACACCCGCATGGCGACCACGTCTAGGCAGGGACGTGGCGGGAACCCTCAGAAGACAGGCGTGTGGTGGGAGGAGGTGAACCATGGGGGGCTCAGGGTCGGGGGAGCCCCGGGAACACCGCGCCCCAGACAAGGAGAACGGACGGGGTGACGGTGCGGGTGACGCAGATGGAGGGTGGGGGTGGGGAGGACAGTCACCAGCAGGTTGCCCCTAGCTGGGCTGCGGGAGGGTTTGAGGCAGCCCAGGGGCCGGAACCGAGGGGCTGGGTGGAGTCGGGCCCTGAGGGGACCCACCGAGGAGGCGAGAAAGGAACACGCAGCCGCGGGGCCACGGGACGAGCCTCTTGGGGGACTGCCGAGGGCAGGGTGGGCCTGTGGGTGCCCAGGCCACAGGGTCCGTGTGAGGCATGGTGGGGAGCCCTGGCCCGGGAGCTGCCGCGGGTGCGGGCCCCGGGCTGGGCTCGGGGAGGGCCGGGAGCCACCCCCAGCATCGGGGCAGGAGGGGGGGTGCCGAGGCTGAGGCTGGAGCTCCTGTCCCTGGCCGTGCGGGAGCCCCTCGCCTCCCCTCTGCCATCTTTGTCTGCCCCTCGCGTCTGCTCTCCCCCTGTGGGCTCTGGAGCCGTCGGATGCTGATAGTCGGCGGCTTGCTCGTGTCTGTGAACATGCCCTCTAGCCTGGGTCCCCCAAGGCAGGAGAGCGCGGAGGGAGCCTGAAACCCGGCTCCTCTCGTGGTGCAGAAGGCCCCTCCTCCCATTTCCGTTGGGCAGCACCGGCCGGCCGCTGGGCTCCGGCCGCGCTGAGCTTGTGGACTTGCTGATCCGGCACTGTGGGCCAGGTCAGCAGGGTCCGAGTCCTCCGGCTGCCTGGCTTGCGGGTGCCTGGCAACTCTGAGAAGGGGGACAGCCCGGACGCATGCGGGGCCAGAGCCGCCCTGGCAGGCAGAGGCGGCAGCCTCGAGGTGACACCCCGCTTCGCCTTGCAGATGTACGGGTCCCCAGAGGACGGCAGCATAGACGAGGATGCCTTGTCCTGCATCCTCAAGACTGCCCTGGGGGTGGCGGAGCTTTCTGTGACCGACCTCTTTCGAGCCATCGATGAGGAGGAGAAGGGGACGATCACATTCGGTGAGCAGCGGGAGTGGGGTCACGCCGTGGGTGGCCTGCGTGTGCCGGTGGGGTGTCCCCAGGAGCCAGTGGGGTGCCCCCAGGAGCCCGTACCAGGCTGCCCTGCCGCCTCCTGCCACAGAAATTCCTCAGAAGAAGGTCCATCCTGAAACCTGCCCAGGTGGGTGGGAGCTTTCAAACCTGCTTTCTTCAGGCAGTTTATAGCACCGAATGCCAAGCCAGTTCTGAAGCTCCGGGCCCCACTGTGGACGCCGTCTGCAGAGCCCATTGCCCTCTTGTCCGGGTCAGGGCCCCCCCAGGGGAGGGAGGGACGTCTACGCCCAGCCCGTGGAGCTGGCTCGCTGTGGGGCCTCCTGTCCCTCGGAGGTGCTGGCCTCGTCACCGGCAACCAGGGCTCTGGGTCCCGCATCCCTCTTCCCCCGAGGGTCTGGCAGGAGAGAGGCCGCGGGAAAGCAAGTGCCTGCAGCTGTTGCAGATGTGTGTGTGGGGTGATCTTCCCCCCGGAGCAACTCACCTTTCTGATCACGTTTGACCAGATGATACTGTAAACTGCTGAGCGCAAGCGGCAAACCCGGCCCGGGCCCCCACCCCGCCCCGCCCCAGGAGTGTGAGCAGTGGGAGGTGTCCCCAAGGCAGGTGGGCTCAGACATCCTCGCCAGGCCCCAGCCCTCAGCAAGGATTTCTCTGCTTGTTCCCGCCCCCTCGAACCCTGACGTGATAAAACAAACCCAAGGGCAACGCGCGTGGAGGGGAGTCTGGGAGGCGGGAAGGGCAGGGCCGGCTCTCAGGGAAACGCTTGTGTCCGACGAGGGCGCCCGGAGCAGGCAGGAGGGCGAGCGGTTGCGCAGAGGCGGCCCTCGCTGATTCCTAAGTTAATGTGTGTGATCCCGAAAACAGGACGCAGATCACGTAGGAATTTGCTCAGAAGACAGGGGGTCTCTGAAATGGCTGTTGCTCACATCTGGTTTGGGTGTGTCTTTAAAATTGCACCCAGATGCCAGAGGTGTGTGTGTGTGTGTGCGTGTGTGTGTGCGTGCGTGCGTGTGTGTGTGTGCGTGCGTGTGTGAGGTCGATGGTGGGCGCCGCGCCTTGGTACGTTTGGGTTCTGTTGTTGACGTGTGGCGAGTGCGCACCCCCCCACAGACTGTCCGGTGAAAGCCGTTCCGGGCTTTCCCGCGAGGTGGCTGGGCTCTGAGTGTCCCCACAGCCTCCCGTGTCAGTCCTCTGAGAGCCACCAAACCTCTCTGCAGTGCCTCACGCGGGAGCCCAGGGCACCTCTGCCCATGGAGGGGACACCCAGAGGGGGTGGAGGTGGCCCTCACTCGCCAGGCTCCCAGGGCTGCCATGCATGCGAGCCGTGTCATGCCACGCAGACGGTCAGATCACTGCCTGGATGCTTGGTCTCGCCCCTAAACCAGGAGTGCCAAGTACCCAGGACGTATCTGTCAAAATCAAAGTCACGAGTTTGCTTTAGATTTCCCCAAAAGCAGGAACAGCTGGCCGGGCGCAGTGGCTCACGCCTGTAATCCTAGCACTCTGGGAGGCCGAGGCGGGCGGATTGTTTGAGCTCAGGAGTTCGAAACCAGCCTGAGCAAGAGCGAGACCCCCCTCTCTACTAAAAATACAAAGAA